TGTGCCCTAGCTTAAAACCCACTGATTTTAATAATGTCATTACTGAGGTGAAATGGGGATTTAGCATACACTAAGAAGTGAGAAAATGGCTCTATTCCTCCTCCTCCTCCTCTTCCTCCTCAACAAAAAAAAAAAGTACTTTTTTTCAACAAGACCTAATGAAGGCAAAAGGTTCACCTGCCACCTGTTTCATCACTGGCTTTGACCACAAAATTCTTGGCTCTTATAGGTGAGAGATCAAAAAAAAGTCAACTGCTCTAAATTGAACCTTTCCGACCTTTACTTCTGGATGTGCTCTTCAACACAGACTTAGATGAAACTTTGGCATTCCTGTCCCCTTCAGTCAAGAAATAATTCTTCCTTCTTCCCATCCACATGTCTCATCCACAGTTCTCAATAATTCTCTGAGCAGCTGTACCTCAGTGCTGACTTCAAGGATTAACCACACCTATCTCTTTGTAAGGCAAACTCAGTATGTGCTGGGACAAAGCTCACAGATGAGGCTGGGAAAGAGATCCCAGGGGAATCTAACCACTGTGGCCACTGGCCCTTTCTTCCCACTTGCAGGAAACATCTCTGACTCCAGAGAGAATTCAGTTCACAAGGACAAATCTTCTCATCTCATTTCCATCTAAACATGAAAAGATGTCTTTCGATTCAAAAGGAGGCTTATGATATTGTTTCTGACAAAATTTTTAATTTTTTAATATCTCTTTTCCTATTTACTCTCCATTGTCTTTTTTGCAACAAGATGCCTGAACATCATGTCTTCAGAAGAAAGGACGTCTGAAGTAAATACAGGAACAGAAATGGATCAATAGCTATTCAGTTGTTGAAGTATGGAAGAAAAAGTGGTTTACTCAAGTCTACTGCTTCTAAGTAAAGAACATCAGAAAGACTTCTCTAAGGAAAAGATCAAGAATTTAGGTATTAAGGCTGTTTTAATGAGTAATGTTACTTGTAGCTCAGAAGAATGATGAAAATGAGTGCTTTTAAAAATATCCTGGCTCAGCAAAGCTTGAGTATTGGAAAACAATACGATTTAACTTTTAGAAGGGATAACAGAATTACTAGGTTGTTGATAGTAAGAAAAAAGACTCTTGCTTTCTTTTCCCTTCTCCTGAACTGAAAAAAATACACGTGAAGTGGGACTCTGAAATCTTCTGGTTATCTTGACCCTAATTTGCAAGGACTAACACTGGTTAGCCAAAGATCTCAGAGGATATTCCAACATTTCAAGCAGAAGGATATTTATGCAGGTGCTGACCCTGGCACAAATGATGTAGGTATGATAAAGCTAGATTTCATCAACCTTATCAGAAATTGCTACAGGATGCTTTCTGCAAAGCTCTGACACAGATAAAACCCCTCCTTTATCAAAACAGCACTGCTTTTGTTCCTGATGTGATCTGCTGCCTCTGGTAACAGGCAGTCTGTATCACAACCCCTCCTTTCCAAAGCCCATTTTACAGAAGCTCCACCACTGTCAACAATTTGGAGTTTTGTGTATGTACAAGACACAGGGAATATTTGATTAACCTTTGATTAACTAGAGTTGCATTGGAAAAGGACTTAAGCCAAATCAGATGCCTCTAAAGGAAACAAAAAGGATCAGCCAACACTATCTATCTCCACTTAAACTTGTATTTTATTTCAGAACATAGCTAGACTTGCGACTTTTAGATATCTAACTAATTATAATAGGATTAATAATATAATTAACACAATGCTAGTAATAGGCTTAATAAAATGACAAAAAAAGATAAAAAACTTCACAAGATTGTAAGCTATGGAATAGCTAGAACTCTGATTTCATTACGGAGATAGTACTGAAAGTACTGAAAAAAAAAATCATTTTAGTTTTCAAAGCAAAGATACTCTAGTTAATCAAAGATTATGTGAGTGACTCACAACACAAGCAAATTACAGAGACTTTTGTAATGAGTCCAAAATGGGATGCAAATCCATTTCAAATATTATCCAGGAGTTATTACTGTGTGCTGCAAGTAGATAACCCTTATTTCTCATACTGCATTTGTTAGCAAAATGCTCATGAGTTTTTAAGTAAAATTGACTTAAGTGGCTGGAAGAAGTTCTCACTTTGCAATCCTGTTAATCTAATTCTCCAGTTATCTTTTTGGTGAGCTCCATAATCTGAAAAACTGGCAATTGTATATACTCTCTCAAAAAAATCAAAAACAAATAAACACACAGAAATTAAAACAACACAAAAATACACACACACACACACACACACACACACACACACACACACACGTATATCTATATATATATATATATATTTTCAAAAGGAAGATGAGAAAAAAAAAGTAAAAGATTGAATGGAAAAATTTTGGGGGTAATTAAACAGTTTGCAAAAGACCCCCAAACAAACTAACAAAGCAAAGATGCAAGCAAACAAAAAAATCACCCCACCAACAAAATTTAAAAAAAACAACCAAACAACACCACAGAATAAGGGGAGAGAATATATTAATTTAACTTTTACTTCCTAATTTTATTTTTAACAAAACTTCTCTTTTATGGACAAAGTATTAGAAGATGTTATTTAAATCTTTCATCTGCTTTCTTTGACATTCTGTACATATGCTTTCCTTTCTGCATATTTCTAGATGTTGCACTTCTGAATAAAAATGGGTAACCCAGGGAAATTTTGTACATGTTTCTTGCTCAGGTATCTAAAAGAATTATCCTGAGCCAAGACAGAATTTCCTGGTTCTTTCAAGGCATTTCCTGACTACTGTTGCAAACCAAAACTGATAAACAACTAACAAAAATTAACAGGGAACAGAAACTGTACCACACCTTTGAATTTTTTGAATTACAGAAAAATTCTTAAATCTCTGCAATTAAAGAATATAGTGTGCAAAAAAAGTCTTTTTTCCCAGGTGCAGCACAAAACTGAATAATATTCTGAATATTACTAATGGAAAGATATAAGATGGCCCCGTGCATTACACAGCTATGACAAAACGATATGCAAATAATAATTTTATCTTTAAATATGCAGCCTGCATTTTAAGATATTAGATAAGGTTTTTATTTCATGCTTGCTTTCAGTAAGATTAATAGTAGTAGCCTATGTAGATTAAAAAAAAATCCAAATTTGCTCTATTTGTAGGTTCTTGTCTTGGAAATATTTTATGCATGTCATCACAGTCACTCTTAGAATATCCAAATCTTTACTATGCTAACTTTATTACTACCTTGATCTTTCAATATATTTCTGCTGAAATTAGTACAATGCATACAGTTCCAAATCCTAAAGCTAATCGGCTCTTGTTTAACATTATAATTTCAAAGCTGTTTTGGATACTACGTGACTGATTTTTCATAATTAATCTAAGGAAACAAACTGGCCAAACCAAATTCTTGACTAACAAAGATTATGATTTCAGGAACTGAAAGGGGTTGCACACATCTAAAGTTAGTATAGATTATGCCACTGACTCACATACTTCCTTTGTTAAATTCAACACTCATAAAACGTACCATAACATAGCAAGAAAAGGAGTGTTAAATTAGATCTACTTGATTTGTATCCTGAAATACAAATTTCCTAGATTGTCCTTCTTGGGCGTTTTGAACTTGCATTCTTATGTTTGTTCATATTTTTCTGTTTAGTGGATTTCATAAATGATAAGAGAAGACATGAGATATTTGGGGATGATAGTCTTCATCAAAACAGTTAATTTTGGTGCCTAAGTATCCTTAACACTAATTTGCTTTCATTTCATAAGATGCGAAACGTTCAATTTCAAACCACATTAATTTCAATGAAAAAAATACCAAAAAAAATCAGGAACTGTGTATGAAATGTTCAGCTAGATTCAATTTCCTTCCTGTGTCTGCTGAATTTTTACAACCTAATGAAAAAATATGAAACACAAGTAAAAGAAAAGAGGTGACCCAATTTCACCATTACTCCATGAACCAGGGAGATTTTGCTGTGTGACAATATGAGTCATCAAATGAGTCTTTATCCATAAGTATGAAATAACTGTGTTATCCTATCACCTTGACTAATTCCATTTATACTACATTTTCCTCAAGAATCAAAAAGAATAGTCTATAAAAAAATCAACCAAAAAAACCCCAAAGCCAAAAAAGAAAAAAACAACCCCTAAACCAAAGAGTTTATGGCCAGCTGCTTCTGTTTAAGCCCACCCAACTGCTTTTGTATTGATGCAGCATAGCTCGGGCATGATGTCATATGAAGGCCCAGCAGAATATACTCCAGTTGATCTTAAAAATATGTAGGGAAGCCTTTTCTCTCTGAATGTGCAAAATTTCCAGCAGTGGAGAAGGGAGTTGCCCACATGCAGAAAAAAATAGACTAAATGACCATAGTGGATAGATACGTGTGTAGGTTCTATCAAAGAAACAATGATTTTTACTATTTTCTCACTAAAACATAGCACCTAGTTTTAAAAATTAAAGATAGTAAGAACAACCTTCTAATGCTTTTTATTTGCTTTTCTGTGACCCTATGAGGATGGAAATAATTCTAGTCCTTTATTACCTATCTCCATCCATTCATACAACCACCCATGCACCTTCGTCCTCCTTCCTAGTTCTGTGGTTTGATATACATGCATGGAGATATTTGTATTTTATATAATTTACAATACATTTAATAGAAGATTTTCTTGTTTTAAATGTTACGGGGAGAAGAAAATAAATGTAATGAGGGCTGCAGCTTATAAACAGAAATATAATACACATTCACAGGAATATAGAAAGTATAATGACATTTATTATCTAGCCAGTCACTTATGAGGGTGGCACAATATATACCATTCTGAATGCCAAGGAACAATGAAAATCTTAAGGTGATAAATCTCTTTCAATGTCATGGGAACACAATTGTCACTTGTCATTACTGTGCATCTCTATATTTCTTCATATAGCCTAAACTGCCTATTCTTCCATAATTCAACGCATTTAATAATGCAGAAAATCAATTAATATTTACTGACCTGTCTCTGCTTCTCCGTGATGGGAACGCAGCATTACAGCCAGCCACTGTGCAGACATGCATCTCTTTTAAATGAACGTTTCGGTAGTGAAGCTTCACACTGTAGGAACTCTTGAAACTTTTCTTGCAAACATAGCAGATCTTGGGGTCTGGGCTGGAGCACATTTCACCTTCTGGGGAGAACTTCTGAGGGCTGCTGTAGTTGAATGTCGAAGCAAAACTTTCATGAAGAGCAGCCATACTGGCACTGCTTCCATTGTACAGTCCATATTGGCTCATATAGAACATATCGTATGTAGGGTCTGTATACTCTTCCTTCACCTTAATGACATCCTGGTTGGAAGAGTCATTGTGGTTTTCATCTGGTCGGTCACTGTGCATCATAGATTTTTCACCAGGTTCATGGAGGCGATCATCACCCTCCAGTGATTCTTCACACAATTTGGGCTCTGATGACTCTGACTCATTTTCATAATCTCTTTCATGCTCCTGGTCTTCTGATGTCATGCTGTCTGCCCTTCTTATGTCTGGTCTGGACATACATCTGTTTCTGTCACTTTTGGAAAAGTCTTTCACAGACAGGCCTGGGCTCATTTCCTCCTGAGAATGGCAGTGATTGTCATGACCAATGTCATTCACCATTGTGCTCCTGTCATTCACCTCTTCATCTTCATCGTCAAACTCATCAGCAGTGTCAATAACTTCCTTTTCAATTTTAACTGGCATGCTTGACTTCCTTGGCTTCTTCTTGGGGGCAAGGTCTGCATTGGGCTCTGGGGTGGGCATCAACACTGAAGGTACCGATGACTCCGAAGGAGGAGGGGGATGCTGCTCCATGCCACTCACAGCTGGTATTATGGGACTGGTTGGGAGTGAGGTTGGAGGACTCACCATCTCTCCAGGAGTAAGTAAATTTCTGTAAAAAGGAGGAACAGGTTGAACAGTCTTTAAAGCTGGGAAGACCAGCTGACTGGGAAGAGGGTTCTGTAGTACCGGGTCTAGAGGGGGAGTGGTAAACCCCATCGGTGGACGTCCAGGGCTTGTTAAAGTGAGGTTGGATTTTGTACTTGCTATGACAGGAGTGGCAGCACCTGATGTAGCGCGAATTAGATCTTTGTCACGGTTATTCCTTAGCATAGGCATGTGGAGGCGAGGATTTGGGTTAGCACTGTGGCGATTGCGGCTTCTAAGAGAGCTGAAGACCATATTGCAGCCTTCAATAGTGCATCGATGCTTGATTTTCAGGTGCACAGCATTGTAGTGGATTTTAAGAGTACCTTTGTCATAGAATGTTTTGCCACATGCATTGCAAAACACTCTTCCTTTCCTTGAGGCTGACCCCATTCTCCTCATTCTGTGAATTCGGAATGAGCTTTTTGTGTGCTCAGTTTTCGATAAGTCATTGACTGGTGTAGGTGTTTGAACAGGAGAGACACAGGCCGGCTCAGTTTTGGGCTCCACATTTGTGATACTGGTCAAAGCATTCCTGCTGGATGCTTGCTCATTCTTGAAAGGCGTAGGGGAAACTTCAGATTCACTGCTCTCATTATATTCATTTTGGGTTGTAAGGCTTGGTTCACGGAGCCTCATTGCTGGCTGTTCCAGCAGGAGGCCATTTGGAGGCAGCCCCAGCAGTGGAGCAGAGACTGGATTTATGTATTGGAATGGAAGCAGGAATGCAAGGCTATTCGGGATGTTTTCAAAATGATGAATGCTTGAAGGGTTGCTATTCTCCAGGTGAGCAAGGAGACTTGGGCTCCTGGTGCGATTATTGCTTTCAATAAAAGTCCTTATATCTGAATCTGTCTTTGAAGATGGCACAGCCACAGCCTGCCCTTCTTTTTCTTGAATTGCCATCAGCTCCACGATAGATTTCGTTTCTCCAAATCTCAGGAACTGCTGAAGGGTAATGATCTCTTCTTCCCTGGACATGATGGCCCAGCGGTCCAGCACCTTGCCTGCAGCATCCTAGAGGCCATATCAAAGAAACAACAAAGACAAAACACAGAGAAAAGCTTATTGATTCTGCATAATTATTGAAGAAGGTGCTCTGCTGCCTGAACATGAAACACTAAGCTCAAAAAACAAGATGCAAACAGTGTTAATGGAAGTTGACCAAACAATACAAACTTTCCATCCATGCAAATGCTATTGTTAGAGTCACAGTTAGAAAACCAGATTGAGTTTAACAGTGTCAGAGTACACAAAATGTAGAACTCTCGACTCTGTGATCTAAAATGCTTTCAGTACTTTATTTTTAACAACAGTGATCTCTGTGCAATGCTACTGTTTGGAATACATTAGTAAAACATGAATTATTGCTGTGCACACCACTGTAAAATACAAAAAATTGTACCTTAATCACTATTAAATGGTAATACTATTAGAAAGAGCTAAATAAATGCAACTGATAGATTTGCTTCTTAACTACAAGCAGATATAAGACTGAAGTTGTTTATAGGCCATTTCATAAGAAAAACTTTGATGCAAGGCATAATGTCTTGAAAACAGCACATAACACTTATATCTTAATCCCTTTTTTCCTGGACTTTTACTGGCAATTGATTGTAAGCTTGCAATCTTGGTATGGTTTAGACTTGAGAGATTATTTTTTTGTAGCTTTTTTATAAATGACAGTTAAAAATATGTAAAAAGTAAGGATCTGATGGATGTAGATAGCATAAATGTGTAAAAATGTTGTCTCTTAACATTGCCTTCTGATAGCAAGGGAAAAATCCAGAGAGACTACACATCAGTAATCACTAGACTATCTGTTGTTAAATATACATTAAAAAGCATTTCACACTTTCATTTTTGCTAGTAAGCATGAGATTTGCCTGAAGGTAGGACTTAAAAATTCTGCAATGTAATGTCAGGCAATCCATTCCAGCAAGTATTGATAAAAACATATTAAAATACTTCTATAATGAATACATCATTTTATTGGCATCTTTCCTTTTGGGCAAATGCTGGACATACCATTAGCACCGTAACTACATCCAACCAGAAATATAGAAGGCCATCAAACCAGAATTATTCCGATGATTCCTCATGCATTAACAGTTTGAAAGTCTCAAAAGATATACCACCATACTGCCTCTGATATTTTTACATCTTGAATCTCAGGTTCAGAACCTTACCCAAAGACTATGGACTACACACTATTGCAAAAACCATTAATTCTTGTTTGATTATGAAATCTGAAAATACCTTTCTTTCCCTCCAGCCCCTTTACCCCAGGATTTAATTTTTTTATTTATAAAATTAATTAATTATTTTCAGTCTTCAGACAATTGATTATTCTCTTCCCTCACATTTCCTAGAGTACCAAAAAATATAATTTTGCAATGTCAAATACTAAAGCATGTGTTTAATTAATTAGAGTTGATTTTATTATTTCAGTTCGAATATGTTCAGTTCATTTCACCTCTCTGGGTATAAAGTTAATGCTGAAGATTAATGACATGTATGTTTCAGTACCTTAGATACAACTACAAAATCTTTAAAAGTGCTCCACATGTGAACATTTACAATCAAGCCCTGAAAGACAATGAAACCCTCAACAGCATTTAACTTGGAAAATCTTCCCAATTGGTCCCAGAACCATCTATGTGTAGAGAATGTTCAGTCTGTATTTATGGTGATGAATGAAACATCATGATGGAGATGCTGGTTTTGGTTTGCAGCATTACTATGGAAATGTGCTCACCTTTGAAAACCCCTAAGCACAGTGGGCATCTTTGATTTCTTTGTCCTTACAGTTATTGATGTAGCAGTATTTTACAGTACTATCTAACAGAAATCATCACAGACATCAACTATCACTCCCAACAAGAAAAATAAGTAAAAAAATCAAAACCTAAATGGGGTTGGAGACAAAAAACAAAGCCATAAAAAAAAAAATTTAAAAAAATGGACAGGTTAATATTTTAAAGCTCCAATATTATATTTGTTTTTTTCCACCCAAATAACTTTAGCTACTCTGCCCTCGGGTAAGATCTAAAGTTTCTTACATCTACTTCAACAACTTCCAGCCAACCATAGCAGTTCAACATATGGGTAATTCCTACCTGGAATTGCAAAACCAGATTTGAATCAAATTTTGATTTCCAGGCCTTTGCTGTCATATCTGACCTCATCTATATGCACACATTTCCCATCACAAATAATTCCTTCTAACTGTAACTCCCATAGTTTAAAGATGGAAATAAAATTGTCTAATTTACTCTGCTTACCTGTATTGAATTAGGATTACTGCCTACAGCCAGATGCAGGCTGCTTTGTAATGTACTACTGCTACATTGTATTTTGTTTTTGTTTTAATTTGTAAATCATTCACAAGCTTATGTAACAGATGGATGCTTCACAAAACCTGATATATAAGTAAATAAAAGTAAATCACAGCTAGCACGACAATAACTCATGAGAATAATAGCTAGAGATCCTGTAACAGGCTCCCAGATGTAAGGGGAAGGCGGTGTCACACAGTCCCTCCCTGATGGCAGCACAGATAGCTTTCTGCATATACAGAACAGGCAGGAAAGCATCTAAATGCAGGGGCTCCCCGTGTGCTTTCAGGGAATTATTACACATCTTAACTGAGCAAAGCTGGCACTTAACTACATGTGTTACCTCTTGATGAGACACCACCCTTAGTTTCTTTTTGTTTAAGAATATACAGTGAGGAGCACCAGAGCTTCAGCAGCTGCTAAGTCCCACTGACCAGAGAAACTGGCAGTCAAGGGTGTGATAGTCATGGGGTTACCCTTGCTGTCACAGAAAAAGCAGGGAACCAGAAAGCTGATCTTAAATAATCCTTGTCAAATCCTACTAGTTATATCAAGCTTTATCTTGTTAGTTTTCAGCAAGAAGTTTTCTGGCCTTTTTTGCCTAACAAAAGTAAAGAGAAATATGCAGATGCTTATATTCCATAAAACCCTCACTGCTTATGGATACTGTGTAGCATATGCTTCAATATTTACACGGTGAAAGCTTTCCATAAATCATTGTAAGCATGTATTATGCAAAACTAGATAAAGAGTGAATAGGAATGTCATTTTTTGATAAAACTTAAAATTAACAAAAAATCTAACCATTATCCCACTTGAATTTAGCTATAACTAGCTAGGGATCTTTCTGTATATGGGAATACTTGATTAGAGGTTCAAGTCCTTTCTTACATGTAATCGATTTCTTGTTTCTTACAATCTCTCATGCTAAATTTTCTCCCCGAAGCCATTAAAGCATATCAACATTTAAATACTTCATGACAAAAGGTTCCAATTTATATTACTTTTTTCAGCTCACAACTGATTAAGCCAAGCCTCCAGTGACAATGTGTACAAGGAAGTCAGTGAGTACAGAGATACCACTGCATGCATACAGCTCTAAACCAGGCAGGAGAGAGGTAAACCCAATCTGTACAGCATACACTGATGCTCTTCCTTCTTCATCCAAACAGCCTTGCTTTGATTTTTAATTTAATCAATTCTGTTTTGTTTCATTTTGCTTTATTTATCTATTTATTAAATTTTATTTTACTGTAAGGATCTCTTTCTCACAATTTCAGATGAAGAAAATATTTTAATCTTTAAACTATATTAAACTGATCTCCAAGGACCCAAGACATATCCCATAACCTTTTCTAACTCTAACCACACACTCAAGCCTATTATATGAATAAACAGACCCACGTACACACATATGACATTAGATCTGTAAAGTAAAGTCATGGTTTATCACACTGAATTTGCCTTCTGAATTTTGCTGACCGTATGTTAGGAAGAGAGGTGTGTGCCAGGATATGTTAGGGCACATCTTGTCTTAAACTTCTGGGTCAAGAAGAACACATGGTGGTATCAAGATGATTATCTTGAATGACAGGCTACAACAGAGGATGGACACAAAGATCACTCTAATTTTTAGGAGCTTAACAGGGGAGGATTGTGAAGATGAATCTTCATTTCCCAAAGGCCTTTAGCCTTTAAATCTTTCAATTCAGCTTTAAAACCTCCCAATTTAAAAACTGCCTATTTAGAAAATAAGGGCAATCTACACAAGCATATACTACAAACATACACTTTAAACCTTGAACTTTTGTTATGGAATCAGTTGTTTTAAATTCTCATTTTGTGTGAGAAGCTCCCATGACTGCTGTGACTGCATTACAGGCAGATATTTTATATGTCAACACACAGAGAAATACATTTGTGTTCATATACAACACTGGCTTTTTGCAGTTCTGTTCTATTTACTAATTCACTTCTTAGGATAGGAAAAATGTATATATACACCTGACTTGATACACAGTGAGAGATGCCTATACAAGGCTGAGATTAATAGAAAGGTTGAAAAATAGTTTGACTGCTTCTAAAACTATCTTTACGTTCTGGGAGACATTCAAGGATTTTATTTTCAAGTGCTACTGTGATAACTTCTGAGAATCAGTTAAACAGAAAAAAAATCATTGCTAGGCTTCGTATTTTAGTAAGCTTGCATATGCACCTAAATTGTGGCTTTTGGTGCATATCAGTGAAGTTTCCTTGTTACAGAATATTGCATAGACACATGTTTGATCAAATAACTAGGGTAGCTCAGGGTTTATCATGAATTTTTCTTCTATAAGCTCTTCTTAAGGAGCTATGTATTTTCTAGCTGATCTCAAAGAAACATTTTGAATGCAGCTGTAACAGTTGAAAAGCAGACTGAAATATATTAATTTGATCATACTATAATTGCACAGGATGGTTTTAATTAGGGTGTAGACAGAAAAAAAAAAAAGTCAACATTTGTTTCTAATAAAGAAAAGCCTTTATAATTTCCATGATTTAGGGTTTGTTGTTTTGGTTTGGCTGAATTTCCCATAAGCATCCCTTTGCTTCACAATTAAATTTCAAGCTGTTACACTCTGGGTAGTCCTACTACTCCTGGGGTAAGAGTTACCAAAACTGTGCAGCAGCACACCAACT